GTGAGAACACCAATGAGCGGAGAATATAAACCAAAACAGTAACAGACATGGAATGAGAGTGCATGAGACAACTACTATTATTGGTGTGTGACATTCAACAGCAATGAATTTTCAAAATAAAAGCGAATGTATTTTGGAGTGTTAAGTGAAACAGAAATGATATATCAACATCACAAACCCCACATCCATCTGATAAAGTGATGCCGTTGTCCCAGTGGTCTGCTGATTTGTGCCTTCCTCTAGATTAGAGAAGAGGAACGCCAGGAGCTGAAGAAGAGTGGGAGTAGACAGAGATGTGTCGTAAAAAGCATAATGAGAAGCATGTAGCTCACCCTGTGTGTGTGTATTTGTGCGTGTGCGTGTGCGTGTGGTCAGGCAGAGCCTGACACACACAGTGGCTGGGACATTAACAGATTGTCGTCTGTGACCTTAGGGCACCTTGACATTCTGAGAGTGATGACACCCAATGACATATGATGAGAGAGCTGTGTGTGTGTGTGTGTGTGTGTGTGTGTGTGTGTGTGTATATGTGTGTGTGTGTGTTTGGTGTGTGTGTGTTTGGTGTGTGTGTGCAAGCCACTCCGACTGATTGGATATCAGGTGAGCTGAGAGAGGGTCACCCCCTCATCGACCCCACCCCCCACCCTGCCAGCCAGACTCACTTTCTGCCAACAAATGGAAACCTGATTTATCTTATATGTCTGAGACATATTCCATAGAGAACACTGCATTGTAAAATAATCACTTGATTTGCTTTAGAAATATGTAGTGTTTCATGTAGTAGGCATATTGTTGCGCTCTCTTTCCGGTATTCACACCTCTTGTATAGCTAAATATTAGTGTTCAGGAATTGTTCATTGAGACAAGCAAAGGAATTCAAATCAAAGGAAGTATTATGAAGGTTGTTAAAATATCACTCTTAATATTTCAGATGACGTGTATGGGGGTTACAGTATGTGTGAAGGACAAAGGGTTGAATCATGTGTGTTCCCTACTTTAGATTAGGCCAACTAGCACTGTGAATCAACAATTCATGCCAACCCACCGTATGTACTGTGTAGTAGGTAGACACTCATGGGTCAGAGGATATGTTTGAAATATGAGACAGTGTGAGTTCTATCCCTTTTTAAATGCAGCTGACATTCCACTGGGGTCCCAGGGCCACTATTAAAAAGAGAGATCCCAGTCTGCGGAGGGGGGAGTGACTGACCTAGGTCCAATTTGTGAAAGGTTCTTATAAATGATATAAGCTCATCATCTCTGAGGTGCTTCGATCTGAGACCAGAGAGAGAGAGATGTGTGCCTTTGACTGCCCTCCATACTGCAAAGCTCCTCTCCTCACAGATTGTCCTCAAAATCAATACCCAGGTATTCCCAGCCCGCCGCCTTTGACACGTGTCCCTCCCCGCTTTCTAGCACAGTGCTGCACAATGCAAACAAGCCTTAGACTCAAGGACAAGCTGTCTAACGTAGGCCTTCTACCAGTCCTCCATCTTTCACACGCCCCGCTGTCTTGCAAATCCTTTCCCAGCAAGAGGTGTCATCTGCTGGCATCTTGGTGCAGAGCGCAATCCTGTTTGGAGGAGACACTAGCTCCATCCTGGCAGTTCCCATCACGTTCAGCCCCAGTCTCAGCCGCAACCAGCGCAGCAGTCAGTCAGTCAGTCGGTAGGCATGTTAGTGAAATATTTACCATGGATGATCATTCATAAAGAATACATGAGGTATAGCTTGCGAGCGCGGGGCCTAAACCCTTGTTATCCTCGGGACGTGCGCCAGAACAGGATTGTATCTCATCTCAGATATTCTCTTCTAACTCAGCGGCTCTTTGGCACAAAGTGCCTCGGCATTGGGAGAGTGAGGAGGGACATTGTTACCACTCACTGGCTCTATTTATTCATCATAATGAGGAAATGTGCAGGTGACACTTCTGAGTATCCCGGGGAAACGTGCCGCAGAGAGAGGAGTTGTGTGTATTTGTTTGGATTGATGGCTTTCATTGAAGCGGTCATAATAATGGAGTGTGGAATAAAGATGAGTTGAAACTCTTTTGAGATGCTTTCTCTGTGCTTGGTGGGAGCTCAGCTGTGTCCACCAACCTACAATCAATTCCCATATAAGTTACAGTGCTTAAACACTGCATGCTACTCTGCCTATGTAAGAGTATATTTTAGAGAGGGGAAACAACTTGGTTTTGCTACTTGTTATGATAATCACAAGTCTGAATCTGCTTATTTTGGTTTGGTGGCAGTAGGTTTTCCCCTTACAAAAATTTACCATGGTAGTACAATGAAAAAACGACCATGGTACATACTATCATGGGTGTTTGGTCACTACCATGGCAGAAAAATACCATGGTACTGGTGCAAATACCATGGTATTTTCCTGCCATGCTAGTGACCAAAAAAACATGATAGTACCATGGTAGTTTTTTCATTGTACTACCATGGCAGGAAAATACCATGGTACAGTATTTGCACCAGTACCATGGTATTTTCCTTCCATGGTAGTGACCCCAAAATATATATGAACCATGGTACTAGCAGCATGTAGTTTTTCGGGTAATGTGACCAAAAACGTAGTAATTTATTCTACTCACATAATGCAACATTGACTACTCGATCTGCAATGGCAAAGCGTAGGCCTAGTACCCTCTTAAGGATCTGACCCTTTTTTAAAATTTTTGCCTAAAATGACATACCCAAATCTAACTGCCTGTAGCTCAGGACCTGAAGCAAGAATATGCATATTCTTGATACCATTTGAAAGTTAACACTTTGACGTTTGTGGAAATGTGAAATGAATAAAGGAGAATATAACACATTAGATCTGGTAAAAGATAACACAAACAAAAAAACATGCGTTTTTATTTTATATTTTATTCCAACGTCTTTGAAATGAAAGAGAAAGGCCACAATATAATATTGCAGTTTTGGCGCAATTTAGATTTTGGCCACTAGATGGAAGCAGTGTGTGTGCAAAGTTTCAGATTGATCCAGTGAAGCATTGCAATACTGGACTATTTTGTATCAAGTCTGCCCAAATGTGCCGAATTGGTCAATTGATACATTTTCAAGTACATAACTATAGAGAACATGCAAAAATGATGTGGTAATACAAAATATAAGTTTACACACTCCCAGGAATGTCATACATGATGGATCATTAGCTTATACACTAACTTTCACACATCTAGATGGCCGGGCGGGGTGGGTGTGGAGCCAGAGACAGCAGGGGTTCAAACTGTAGAACCCACTTCCTACATTTTAACCCTCCCGTTGTCCTGGTATTCTGTACACACGCCGTGCCCTCCGGGTCGAACTGTCCCCCTCTCACTAAAGGCCCAATTGGAACATGTGGGACAGTATGCGTGCGAACAGCCTTTGCAGACGTATTTGTTACACCTGGTGCACACAGTGTGTGTTTTACAGTCCTTCTTTGTGGGGCAGACCTGACACCTCTTCCTCTTACTGGGTTGTGCGGGGTCGGGTGCTTGGTCCGGTGCGTGGGCCGGTGCGTGGGCCGGTGCGGCGGGGGCGTGATCCCGGGGCTGATCACGATACGTAGCCCTCTGAACAGCTTTGACGAGCGCCACAGAGGCTTCGGTGCGAGGGAGACGGGCCCTTCTTTGTATGAACGGAGTCACTAGTGCCTTTCCCAGCTGCTCAAGGAACACCCTCCTCTTGTTTCGCTTACCAGGCATCCAAGTAGGGTTGAGCTCTCGCCATATGACAAAAGCGTTGTAGGAGGACACATCAAGGATGTTGTGGAAGATGACCAGGGGCCAGCGGGCGGTCATCCTCCTGCAGCTGTAGGTTCCAATCACCTTGTCTAGGTTGTCCACACCTCCCTTGTTGCTGTTGTAGTCTAGGACGATGGCCGGCTTCTTGTCCTGGCGACGGCTAACGTGAGCCTCGGTGTGCAGCGTGCTCAGGAGTAAGACGTTCTTGTTTTTCTTTGGTAGGTAGGACACTAGAGCGGTGGTGGGCGTGAAGGCGAACTTGGAGGAGAAGAGGAGCTGTCCATTGAGGCGAGCAGTGCCGGCGGGAGCTCTGGCTTGTTCTTTCTGACTGTGCCGACCACGGTGACGTTCCTCCTCAGGAGCTGGCGCGCGAGCTCGTATGAGGTGAAGAAATTGTCGCAGGTGACGTTGTGACCCCTGAATCCCTTCGTCAAATCGAGCACGACCCTCATCCCCTGGTTCTTCTCGGGTCCTCCACAGGTGGCCTTCCCGGTGTAGACCTGCATCTTCCAGGCGTAGCTGGATTTGGAGTCGCAGGCCACCCAGGTCTTGATGCCGTATTTGGCCGGCTTGCTTGGAATATACTGACGGAAAGGACATCGGCCTGGAGGAGAGGAGAGGAGAGGAGAGGAGAGGAGAGGAGAGGAGAGGAGAGGAGAGGAGAGGAGAGGAGAGGAGAGGAGAGGAGAGGAGAGGAGAGGAGAGGAGAGGAGAGGAGAGGAGAGGAGAGGAGAGGAGAGGAAAGAGAAGAGATTAGCTTTAGCGTGTTGTGTTGTGTACGGTGTTGTTGTGCTCTTGTACGGTGTTGTTGGCCCGGCCCACCTCTGAAAGGGACCAGTTGCTCGGCCACCGTCAAGTCGGGCCCGAGGTTGTAGAGGAGCGGCAGCCACTCGACCCACTTGTCCCAGACCTCTCTCACGGCCGCAAGTTTGTCACCGCCGCCTGCTGCGCGTCTCTCGGCTCTGGTCTGGCGGTCGTCGAAACGAAGGAGTCTCGAGTAAGCGTGAAAGACTTTGAGCGGCATGGTTGCGCGGAAAATGGTCCTCCCGCTCTCGGCGTCCCAGAGACTAGAGGCTGCTTCGCCTCGGGACCTGTACACACCGGCTAGGATGAGCAGCCCTACGTAGGCTCGCAGGTCGGTGGAGTCCATCGCTTTCCAGCGGCCGCGGCGGTCGCGGTCTTCGTGGTCATCGGCGTAGTGGCGGTGGTCGTCATCGCCACAGCCGTCGCCGTCGCCTCGGCCTCCGTATTTTCGAACGCCCTCCAGATTGGTCATCTCCAGGTTGATGTCTTCTATCTCCGGTGTGAAAAACAGGCGGAACGTGGAGAGGATGTCGCGGGCTTGGCCTACGGCCTGCCTAGTAGGCCCGGGCCTCATGTCCTCCGGCACCTCAGCAACCGGCCTGTTACTTTTTGCCGCTGCGGCGGCCCCTCCGACGCCCCGATTGTTGTCACAAGGCACCGAGCACCCTTGGATTTGGCCGTTTCTCGACACGAATGTCTCTCTTTCCACTCGAGGGATATCGTGTTGTGGTCGGGGGCTGAGGCGGCGGCGGCGGCGGCGGCGGTCTCCTCGCTCTCCTTCACCTTCACCTTCCCCTTGTTCTTCTTTTCCTTTTTCTTCTTCTTGGTCGTCGTCGTCGTCATCATCGTTGTCGTCGTCGTCATCGTCTCGTTCGTCTTCTACGCCTTGGCCTTCTTCTACTTGGGCGTCGTCCTCGTCGTCCTCGTCAGCGGCGGCGGCGGCGTCGTAGTCGTCGTCCTCGTCGTCCTCGGTGGTCTCCTCGTCCTCTGGGTTATATTCCTCCCCGTCTTCTTCTTCGGACGCTTCCTCCTCCGCTTCCTCGTCGCAGTCAGAGTCATTGGCAAATATATGTTCTAGGACCTGTTTGGCCGTGAAACGCACAGCACTCATAATAGCTTCGGCACCCAGGCTGGGGAAGTCCCCAAGACCTCTCTTCGGGACGTGTCCGGACATGCCACCGAGGCAATATTAGTAGTAGTAGTAGTAGTAGTAGTAGTAGTAGTAGTAGTAGTAGTAGTAGTAGTAGTAGTAGTAGTAGTAGTAGTAGTAGTAGTTGTAGTAGTTGTAGTTGTTCTTGGTGTTGGTGTTTGTTTACGGCTGGACAACGCTAGGGGTTATACAGCCACTCGCTCTAACACGTAGGCACTGACACGTAGCCTGGGTCGTTTTGACCCCAGCCAGGACAGGACAGGACAACGCTAGGGGTTATACAGCCACTCGCTCTAACACGTAGCCTGGGTCATTTTGACCCGGACAGGACAACGGGAGGGTTAATATTAAAATAGATTTTATCAAACAAAAATATGCTACATTTTATCTCTGGGACCCTTAGGATGACAAATCAGAGCAAGATTACTGAATATAAGTACATTATTTACCTTCAGTGGTGAATGTATCAAACCAGTTGCCGTGATAAGTTTTGTGTTGTTGTACACTCTCCTCAAACAATAGCATGGTATTTTTCCACTGTAATAGCTACTGTAAATTGGACAGTATAGTTAGAATAACAATAATTTAAGCTTTCTGCCCATATAAGACATGTCTACAGAGAGGGAATAAAGTATTTGATCCCCTGCTGATTTTTTTACGTTTGCACACTGACAAAGAAATGATCAGTCTATAATTTTTATGGTAGGTTTATTTGAACAGTGAGAGACAGAATAACAACAAAAAAATCCTGAAAAACACATGTCAAAAGTGTTATAAATTGATTTGCATTTTATTGAGGGAAATAAGTATTTGACCCCTCTGCAAAACATGACTTAGTACTTGGTGACAAATCCCTCTAAAGTCCCACTACTCTTTGCAGATCTTCTCCAAGTCATTAAGGTTTCGAGGCTGACGTTTGGCAACTCGAACCATCAGCTCCCTCCACAGATTTTCTATGGGATTAAGGTCTGGAGACTGGCTAGGCCACTCCAGGACCTTCATTTGCTTCTTCTTGAGCCACTCCTTTGTTGCCTTGGCCGTGTGTTTTGGGTCATTGTCATGCTGGAATACCCAATCACGACCCATTTTCAATGCCCTGGCTGAGGGAAGGAGGTTCTCACCCAAGATTTGACGGTACATGGCCCTGTCCATCGTCCCTTTGATGCGGTGAAGTTGTTCTGTCCCCTTAGCAGCAAAACACCCCCAAAGCATAATGTTTCCACTCCATGTTTGACGGTGGGGATGGTGTTCTTGGGGTCAAAGGCAGCATTCCTCCTCCTCCAAACACGGCGAGTTGAGTTGATGCCAAAGAGCTCAATTTTGGTCTTATCTGACCACAACACTTTCACCCAGTTCTCCTCTGAATCATTCAGATGTTCATTGGGAAACTTCAGATAGGCGTGTATATGTGCTTTCTTGAGCAGGGTGACCTTGCGGGCTCTGCAGGATTTCAGTCCTTCACGGCGTAGTGTGTTACCAATTGTTTTCTTGGTGACTATGGTCCCAGCTGCCTTGAGATCATTGACAAGATCCTCCCGTGTAGTTCTGGGCTGATTCCTTACCATTCTCATGATCATTGCAACTCCACAAGGTGAGATCTATCATGGAGCCCCAGTCCGAGGGAGATTGACAGTTCTTTTGTGTTTCTTCCATTTGCGAATAATCGCACCAACTGTTGTCACCTTCTCACCAAGCTGCTTGGCGATGGTCTTGTAGCCCATTCCAGCCTTGTGTAGGTCTACAATCTTGTCCCTGACATCCTTGGAGAGCTCTTTGGTCTTGGCCATGGTGGAGAGTTTGGAATCTGATTGACTGATTGATATTTTATACAGGTAACAAACTGAGATTAGGAGCACTCCCTTTAAGAGTGTGCTCCTAATCTCAGCTTGTTACCTGTATAGAAGACACCTGGGAGCCAGAAATCTTTCTGATTGAGAGGGGGTCAAATACTTATTTCCCTCATTAAAATGCAAATCAATTTATAACATTTTTGACATGCGTTTTTCTGGATGTTTTTGTTGTTATTCTGTCTCTCACTGTTCAAATAAACCTACCATTAAAATGATAGACTGGTCATTTCTTTGTCAGTGGGCAAATGTACAAAATCAGCAGGGGATCAAATACTTTTTTCCCTCACTGTATGTCCTGGAAAGTTTGCTGTTACTTACAACAGTCATGCTAATCACATTAGCGCACTTTAGCTCAACCGTCCCATATACGGGACATGGATCCCGTAGAGGTTAAATCCCTTTAGCTCGTAGTGAAAAACCACAACACATGGGTCTAATAGTGTAGAGTATCCTCTTAAACCTTGGGACCTGGATAGGGTATGGTGAGAAGAATGAATATAGTCTGAAACTTGAAGATTTAAAATAGTTAGTTTATCTGGTGCTTCTCTCTTCAGCTTTCAGTTGGCTCTCTCTCATTCAACTGACTTGGCTACTTTTATACAATTCTAAATAGCCAACATGCAAAAATGTAAAAAGGTATTAATTATCTTATCTCAAAGATACATTTTCATCATTTAATTCTCAACATATCCCTAAAAACAGCATGTTACAATGGTGCCCTTTGTTTACACTGTGTGAACGTTTGTTGGTCCTGTCGCCATGACTATGACAGGCTAGCTTGGCTGGAGCTAACTTTAGCTTCTATGCTAACAGACTTTTATAAATTAATTAAACTATCAAAACATCATAAAAAAATAACAACAGTGATATACTGTGGCTTGCGAAAGTATTCACCCCCCATGGCATTTTTCCTATTTTGTTGCCTTACAACCTGGAATTAAAATGGATTTTACACAACATGCCTACCACTTTGAAGATGCAAAATATGTTTTATTGTGAAAAAAACAAGAAATAAGACAAAAAAACAGAAAACTTGAGCGTGCATAACTATTCAGCTTGAGCGTGCAATTCTATTGTCCTGCTGGAAGGTGAACCTCCGTCCCAGTCTCAAATCTCTGGAAGACTGAAACAGGTTTCCCTCAATAATTTCCCTGTATTTAGCACCATCCATCATTTCTTCAATTCTGACCAGTTTCCCAGTCCCTGCCGATGAAAAACATCCCCACAGCATGATGCTGCCACCATCATGCTTCACTGTGGGGATGGTGTTCTCGGGGTGATGAGAGTTGTTGGGTTTGCGCCAGACATAGCGTTTTCCTTGATGGCCAAAAAGCTAAATTTTAGTCTCATCTGACCAGAGTACCTTCTTCCATATGTTTGGGGAGTCTCCCACATGCCTTTTGGCGAACACCAAACGTGTTTGCTTATTTTCTTCTTCAAGCAATGACTTTTTTCTCGCCACTCTTCCGTAAAGCCCAGCTCTGTGGAGTGTGTGGCTTAAAGTGGTCCATTGGACATTTACTCCAATCTCCACTGTGGAGCTTTGCAGCTCCTTCAGGGTTATCTTTGGTCTCTTTGTTGCCTCTCTGATTAATGCCCTCCTTGCCTGGTCTGTGAGTTTTGGTGAGCGGCCCTCTCTTGGCAGGTTTGTTGTGGTGCCATATTCTTTCCATTTTTTAATAATGGATTTAATGGTGCTCCGTGGGATGTTCAAATTTCTGATATTGTTTTATAACCCAACCCTGATCTGTACTTCTCCACAACTTTGTCCTTGATCTGTTTGGAGAGCTCCTTGGTCTGCCGCTTGCTTGGTGGTGCCCCTTGCTTAGTGGTGTTGCAGACTCTGGGACCTTTCAGAACAGGTGTATATATACTGAGATCATGTGACACTTAGATTGCACACAGTTGGACTTTATTTAACTAATTATGTGACTTCTGAAGGTAATTGGTTGCACCAGATCTTATTTAGGGGCTTCATAGCAAATGGGGTGAATACATATACATCAACCACTTTTCCGTTATTTATTTTTTTGAATTTTTTGAAACAAGTTATGTTTTTCATTTCACTTCACCAATTTTGACTATTTTGTGTATGTCCATTAAATGAAATCCAAATAACAATACATTTAAATTACAGGTTGTAATGCAAAATTTTGCAAGGCACTGTAATTACACGCCGCTTAACTTGGTGTTTCATATCTTATGCTTTATAACTCGCTCACCGCGATGATAACGTTTAAAATATTTTGTTTATCTGGCGCTTCTCTCCAGTTTTCAGTCGGCTTGGCTTTCTCATTCAACTGACTAGGCAGGCTAGCGCGAGAGCCACCCCGTCTGCGGGCCGACACAAGCGCAAACACCCCTTGGCTATACATACTATAAATGATTACAAAATGCCAAAGATTAGGCTACCATATATCTCACATTCTCCCACATTTCAGGTTGGCAACACAGGAAATCAAAACATGAGCAAATAAAGGTACTATTAATGTAGAAAGTATTACCACTTTTTCACAGCAACTATTTCCCTTTTTTATGATGTTACAGACAAACTCGGACCAACAAAATAATACCAACCAACCTCTCTTGACCTTGCGTGGTTTATTTATTTAATGCATTATACTGCCATTGTACTATAGTAACACACAATTCATAAAGTGCCATATGATAATTTTTGGTACCATTTATCATAATTTTGCATTACCATGGTAGAATGTAGAATGCAGCTTAAAACCATGGTATTTCCATGATCCACATTTATACCATGGTATTATTTAGGTACATGGCAGTACCATCATACTTCAAAGCTAAAACCATGGTACAGTTCCATGATTCATTTCAGATCTATACCATGGTATAAATGATGCAATACCATGGTAATATTTAGGTACAATGGCAGTACCACGGTAGTACCATCATACTTCAAGGCTAAACATATGGTACATTTCCATCATTCAGACTATACCATGATATAAGTGAAAGTACCATAGTAGTAACATGGTATGAATGAAAGTACCACAGTACTACCATGGTACATTTTTGTAAGGGTCTGTACAGTTTTCTTTGGAGATCACTAGCCTCTCTCTCTCCCTCCCTTCCCCCCCCCCCCCTCTCTCTCTCCTTCTGAAGGTGAGCAGTCAGCAACTACCTCTACCTCGTTAACTATCACCCAGA